AATAAGAACCATTTGTGTAACACCAATACGTAAGAAAGACATGCATTATGTGATTGTAATCAAACCTGATGCTTTCAGATGACCTACTTACATCTTCAATGTGGAAAAGATTAAGAACAAAACAGATTCATCTAAACTTCTGGGCAATCCAGTTGACTTTTAAATGTAAGAATGGAATTCCAAACACTTAACACATTCAACTATATGCAGAAAGTAAATCTATGGATATGGTATTTTGTGAATGATCTTTTAAATAAAAGAAAAACCTTACGTAATATTTAATGCTTGTCCTTATTTTTTAGTTCTTTTTAGCTGCTTATGCAGTCACCAACTTGAAATTTGGGGAGGAGCATCCGAATAATAAAGTGCGCTGTCAGAAAAGCATCTTGCATTTGGAAGTTACAGAATTAGTGAAATTATTTTAATGGCTTGTGATGATTAAAAGTAGGATGTCAACTGTTTTCCTGTGTTTTTCCCCCTTCTCACTTCCTAAATATGTAATTTTCCTAACAGAAACCTTACATACAGTACAGCTATGGTTTTTGGTTGGTTGAAGGGCCTTTTTCCCCAAGATGGAAAACATCTAGCCTTTACACACCACTTGTAATAACTACTTGTTTTTAGAAGAAATTCCAGGAGCTTTTCATGACACTGATGGGTGCTGCTTTGTGGCAGGCATGTTTTGGGAGGTGCTGCTGGGCAGTTGGGTGATTCTGTGGTCCAGTGAGCAAGCTGCAGAGTTGTGAGCTTTGAGAGAAGCCGGGCTGGTGGGGACAGTGGCAGTAGGGGGCCTGGAACAGTACAGGATCCACTTAGCTGGAGGTAAGAACCTTGACTGCAGCTTCATCTGCGGAAATACAGTGGGGAGAGGGTGGGTGCTGTGCAGCAGATACATGAGTTAGTGACTTGGACTGTTCCACTAAGTGTGTGTGGAGGAGAGGCCTTGATGCCCACTGGTGTTTTTTCCAAAGGGAGGAGTCTGTGAACCCCCTGTCCTAAGCTGAGGAGTTGTAACCTGGTCCCTCAGAGGGGTTTCCTGGGCTGGTGGCCAGGGGTGTGATGTCAGCTCTATGAGGCTTCTTTACAAAGCTCTTGTGGATTCCACATTTGAAGGGCCCGTGACTGTTCAGTCCCTTGAAAGGATCGTCTAGGTCCACCGGTAACTGAGAGGTTCCTTGTTATTGAAATCAAATTCTTGTGCAGCTGGCCCCCCTCCCAACCCTCTGTTGCTGTAACTAGTGGTGGCTTCCCACAAGCACCTTTTGTCCTGGTGTGTAGTATTTCTGTGATAACAAATGTTACAGAAGGCATTTTGGTACTTGCCTCTTGTCCATAAGTGACTGAACTAAAAGAGGAGGGTAAGTCTTTCCCCAAATAAGCACCCAAATAAGTAAGGTCATTTTCATATGGCTTGTGATGATTAAAAGTACCAGCTGTGTGAATGTTCCAGAGTTAGGTTTAGATAGGTAGTTGATCTGCTTTCTCTGCTACTCCTGAACTGGCTTCAGAGAAACTAATGGTATGCCAGCTGAGGCCCTTTTAATAAGGGTCTCAGGTTTCTAGGAATGTTCACCTTAGAGTACATCTTGTCAGGGGCCAGATCGTTTTTCCAGGTCCTAGGAGAGGACAGTTTGCACAGCAGACTTCCAGAAGCCTGGGTTTCCCATCACAGATCCCGTTTTTTTCATGGAGGCCTTAGGAGGCAGAAGGAGGAAGGTGGTCAGGAGGTGGACATGCGAGTGGAGGAGGAAGGTGTTGGAATTGTTACCTAGCATCAACTTTGACAGTTCCTGAGGAATAGCCTAGTTTTCTCAGAAGGAGAACACAGAGATGAAGTCCAGAACAAGAAGAGCTAATTAACTCTAATTTGTAAAGCTGCTTGACTGAAGATTCTGGAAGCACCGATTCTTTTCTGTGTGGTGTGTGATGAGATGGTGCTTTCTGGCCTTTGGAGATTTGTGCTGGTTCGTTTGGGTTTTTTTTTTTAGAAAGTCTCATAATTGCTCTTTCCATGAATTGTACTTTAATTTAAAACACTTCTGTTGTTTCCCCTTAGTCCTCAAATTCCAGGTGGCTCTGGAGGTCATACAGGGTCTCTACCCCACGACAGGGTTCACTCTTTGGAATGACAACTGTGTTCGGACCTGAGAGGGGCCAGGTTGTCTGTGGAGCTTCCTGATCTGAAGGAGAGCAGGGCAGGCAGAACGCCTTCTGCCCACCAGCTTCTGGATGTCTGCCAGCAGGACTCTGCCTGGTGGGAGGGGAAACAACCAGGGTGTCACATCCCCAGCTTTCTAAAGGATCTTGAGTACAGGATAGTAGTGCGTGGTTTGTGTCACTGATGGCTCCCACCTGGTCTGCCGCCCCGTCCTCAGATGGTTGCCCTTTTGTAAGCTGTAAGCTGGTCACACAGCCTTAAATGTGGCACAGACAGGTGACAGGTTTGCTCAGGCTGGGCTCCTCGTGTGTCCCTGAAGGGCATCAGGCCTTCTAGGGGCTTTGCTCTATCTTCCATGTTTTCTTGGCCAGTCTTTAACACTTTGAGATGGTGGAGTTAACTTAGTGTGAGATGAGCAGGCTTACAAACATGTCCGGTATCTTAAGTGTCTTTCACATTTTGTCATCATGTAAATGAACTAAAATAATGACTGTACTTTATTATAACCTACTAATCTCTTCTCCAATCTGTAACCACTCTCTAACTGTAAAAAATACTCAAATAAAAGCACTTCTTTCGCAGTGGCAGGCTCTTTGGTATTCAGTGTAAGCCTTAGAGAGAATTTGTTCCCTGTTATTTTCACTGTGGGAGATGAGGTACAATGTTTATAAAATCCTTCCTGGAAGATGGCTGGTTAGTCAGAGGCAGGTAAGATTCCTCAAGGGAGGAACAACCTAAGACAGGCACAGTCGCAGGGGGGCCATCAAGTGAGAATTGGGGATCAACAGAGATGAGGCTTAGAACCTCACCCCCCCTGTTTTGAGAGAAATCTTCTGCATGTGTGGATGTTTTAATGCCCTTGTCTAGCTTGGATTAATACTTAGTCCATAGGCACAGACCTGATCATCTACATTTGCCCTCTTACAGCACTAAACTATGTTTTCTACCTTTATCTTGCATCTACCTACCACTTCAGCATTTTATTTAAAAAATAAATAAATAAGGGAGAAATGTGGGATTCACATATAAATCAAGTATAAAAATCAAATGAATCCAAAAAAAAATCCTTCCTGGACTAGGAGTTTGCCTTCCTAAGGGAGATCACAGAAGCTTTTCAGGTAGCCTAGAGATTCTGTAAGCGGCACCAATCCTTGATATTGGTAGAAGTCTTTTTCACATGCATTATACTCTTGAAGCATATACTAACTAGTTTTTTTATTTTGTTTTAAGTACTTTATCAAAATAGAAACAATGAAAAGTCAAGTCACAAACTAAAAAAAATGGGTGTGTGAATTCCTGCAAATCAGTAAGAGAAAAATAAAAAACAGCCCAGTAGACCCATGGAATCAATGCAGGCTTGTCCCAGCTGTGTGAGGGTCCTGGCCGCTGCTCCCAATGAGAAGTGCTGCTGGCATGTACCCACTGATGTCCCTATGAATGGTGCAGACAACGCTCTAGTGGCTTTGGGGTCTAGATTCAAATTCAGCTTAGTCCCTGGGAGCCTCCAATCTTCCCACCAGCTGGCAGGTTATCATAGGAATTAAATGTCGCATTGCCAGGCTGGCAGTGATTGCAAAGGCATAGGTTTGGGAGTTGAGATGGGGTTGGTTTTAGGCCTGCTACGTATTTATGAGGACGATAGGGACGGGCTCCTGATGTTGAAGGTCAAAGGATCTCCCAAAATAAGCTCCCAGACCATGTGCTACCCTCCTCACTCACACGGTGGCAGCAGGACGCTGCTTGGCCTCCCATTTTGTTTCCATCCCAGTGGGGCCTCCTGACCGCGCCCCCACCTTCCTGGTGTTGCAGGAAATCTCAGCCACCCCAGGTTGGGGCTGAAAGAGAAACCCAGGCCCAGGCAGACAGGGGCCCCCAGAGGTGGGGAGCCCAGGTTTGGAAATGCCAGGCCGATGGGAGCTAGGGGACCCTCGTGGGCTTCCCCGGGGTCTCTAGCAGGTGGAGGGCCACTAATAGTTCAATGGCCTTAGGCAAGCTGAAGGACCAGTAACAGAGGCCCCCACCACCCTCATCCTGAGCGACCTGTGTGGTTTTGATCTGTCCCAAGAAGCTGGTTTGCTCTGCTCCAATCCTCCCGTCAACAGGCAGGCAGGGGAGTGGGGAGGCCGGGCCCGGGAGCAGCAGCGCTCAGACAGGGGGCCATACTCATTTCCTCCATGAGCCTCACCTGGAAAATGGGAGCTGAGCTGGGGCTCCCAGGACTAAAGGGGAGTTGGGATTGTCCTGTCCTTCAGCAGGGCTCCCTGATGCCTGCGGCTGTTGGTCCCACTGTCCTTTCCTCTGTCCGGCTGTCTTTGGCTCTGGCTGTTGGTTCTGTTTCCCCTGGCATGCATCTGCCATGCATCCCTCTGTCCCCATCCACCCATATTGTGTGTGTGCGTTTGGAAGTAGGTATGTCTGGTTCTCTGGGACTCTTGCTCTCTGAGTGGCTCTGGCTCTGGCTGTCTCCTCCTTCATGTCTCTGATAGTCTGTGTATCTCTGTCTTCCTCTGTCTCTGGATCCATCTCAGGTTCAGTCTCTGCCTATCTGTCTGTCCATGTGTGTGTGTGTATGTGTGTGTGTGTCTGCATTTTTCTTTCTTGTTCTCTGCTGACCATGTGTCTTTCTATGCATGTGCCTTTGATTCACTCCCTCTCTGGCTGTGTGTAATGTCAAGGTGGATGGGTATTTCTGTGTTGTGTGTGGCTTTGAGCATGTGTGTCTCCACATCTTCCTACTCTCTCGCTGCCTGGGGGATGTCTTGCAAGCACCCCCTTTCATTCTATTCCCCCTGTCCTTCAGGGTGTGCTTCCCCCTCTTTGAGACCTGTGTGTGCCTGTGTTTGTATTTAGTGTGTGTGCGTCCGCTTCTATCTGTTTTCCCTGTGCCTGTGTTTTTGTCTGTCTCCTTCTTTCTCTCTGTCTCTGTGTCTCTGTCCCCAGCTGTTAATAGCAGAGCCTGTCCGGCAGAGCAGCGGATGTGTGAGGTGGATGATTCAGTGGCTGACAGGAAGCCCGCCGCCTTGCCTGCTGCCCTCCAGTGCCTGTGGTGTTGGCGGCAGTTTAGCAGGTGTGTGGGCCAGGATGAGGTGGCCGCAGTGAGGAGCCCCCAGCTCTTAGGTAAGCCTTCCCCAGGAGGGCCTGGGGCCTGGCCCTGAGGCAGGGGTCCTGAGACTGTCCCCCGCGGACTCCCCTGGCCCAGCAGGGCACTAAGCAGCCCACCGGGTAGGGTGGAAAGATGCCAGGACATCTGGCACCCCACCCTTTAGCCCCAGTCCTGCTGAGGCACCGCTGGCTAGGGAACCCTCACCCCAGCCCTGCAGCCCTCGGAGGGAAGGCCTGTTTCTAACGCTGTGGTTACCTCCCTGTCCTTGCCGTGCCCAGCTGAGGGTGCACAGCCTTGGGAAGCCCCTGGGGTGGTCTCATCACTTCCAGAGACTGGTGAAGGGCCAGGGCAATCACCTCTGCAAGCCCAGGCCCATGAGCCTTGATTTCTTTCTCTGAAAAATGGGGCTGGACTATCCCTGCCGCAGGGCTATGGGAGGACCGGTGAGACTCCACAGGCCAGTGTGCCTGGTTCTGCGTCAGGCCAGATGGCAATGGTGCCCCTGCCACCCTACGCAGTCCCCAGCCTGGGCTGCCAACCCTCTGCTGGGGTCCATGAGGCTATAGGCCCTAGGGAGCCCCTTGTCCCAGCTCTATCAATAGGTGGTCTTGATCTTCACCATCCGCTGCCTCTGCTCTGGGAAAAGGCTGCTCAGTCCCTTGCCTTGGCCACCTGAGCTTTAAGAGCCTCCATTAGAGGCCTCTCAGGTGGCCTCATCTAAAGGCCGAGATTATTTGGGAAAACAACAGGCCCCAGAGCAGAGCCTGGCCAGCAGGGACCCCTCATCCAACCCCTTCTCCCCAGCCTGCCCTGGGACCCTGGTGCACCTCAGTCTCCCCATCTCCAGCATGAGTAGGGCTGGGAGATTGGTCAGACTGGCTTCCCAAGGCCTTTTCAGGTGCACGGCTCAGATGCTGGGGTTCACTTAGCCCAGCCTGAGGGCTTTCTTGCAGCCAGCATGTTGCAAACCTTGTTCATATGAAAACTGCCCACTTCCCTTTGTGCTATTTTGGCCTGCAGAGCCACAGGCTGTGGCAGCCTCCCCACCCCGCCCAGCCCTGCCTGGCCCCTTGGGGCCCCCGTAGGGCTGCTGGGGCTGCTTCTCCTGGGCGCTCAGCCTCTGCTCTCTCCACCCTCATGCCCCACTTGCTCTCAGAACCTGGGTGGGAAAGCAAAGAGAAAAGGCAGATTTGTTGAGTCGGGGTGGGGGCGGTCCCAGGTCTTCCTCAAATAAGTCTCTCTTTTAAAAAATATTTCATGATTCTTAAAAATGTAATTTAAGGAAGAGGTAAAGGAGTGCGGCCTTTGAAGTCAGCCTGTCCTGGTTTGGATGCCTGCTCTGGGACTGGATAGCTATGTGGCCTTGGACAGAGTACTTGCATTTCTGGGCTCCACCTTCCTGCCTTGAAAGAGGACCTGGTGTGTCCCTTGTAACAACTAAGGGGCTGGGCCGAAGGCCACGCTCTCCTTCAGATCTTAGCCCCTCCCGGGGTCCTGGCACAATGCAGCAGAGGAGGCCCAGGCCTGGTCTGGGACACCCGGCAGGGAGAGCTCCGGATAGATTGCTCCACAGTTTGCTGCAGGCTGTCCAGCCGGTTCCAGCCCCAGCAGGCTGCAGCCGCCCCTTCCTCTTCCAAAGGGACCATGTTGATGGCAAGTCATGGTAGTCACAGCCATCCGTGGCCCCCGAAGCAGCACTTCACATGCCTCATCTAGGTGCTGGGCCTCATATGACAGACCTGAAGGATGAGTGTCATTGTTGCCTGTTTAACAGAGGCTGGGGCCACTGAGATTCCAGAGCAAGGATGGAATTTGTGTTCTCATGTCCCCTCACTTCCTCGTCCAGTGCCAGGTGGGTGGGGTGGCCAGGGCTAGGACCACGACCTGAGCATGCTGCTCCTCCAGGACAGCGGGGTCCAGGGCTCAGGCTTCCTGGTGGTCAGGGCTTCTGGGATGGAGGGCCATCCTGCCCCAGGAGGGCAGCAGAGGCCGGCAAGCCAGGCCCCAGGGACTCAGTGCCCAACCTAGAGTGTGGATTCACTCCTGTGCTCTCAAGCAGACCCCTGTCCGGTCTCAGCAAACATGTGTGCAGCCCACCCACGTGTCTGTGCCTGAGTCTCCTTCGGGGGCAGATCCTCTGTCCTAACCAAAAAGACAATGATGTCAGGGGTGGGGCATGAGGGGCTGTCCAAACCAGCCAGCAAGGACAGTAAGACCCTTAGCAAGTCTCTCTCAGGAAGCCCAGACCGTGAGCCTGGCTGGTCACACTCATCCTCCAGCGAGTCTCTGAGGGAGGTACTGGCCTGATCCCCTTCCATAGATGAGGAAATTGAGGCCAAGAGGCTCTGAGGCTCAAGTGGGGTCCTCCCTCCAAGACCTGGTGTTTCTGCTCGGCAGGGCACGACATGGCCTTGGCCGTGGCCGCGGGACTGGGGAGGAGAAGGGCCTGCAGGCCAGAGGGCAGTGCCCAGGCCGGAGGTGGTGGGAGCTGAGGCCCCAGACAGCGCTCTGGTGGGGGCAGCCTTTCTCCTCACGTGGAGGCAGCCCGTCACAAGGTCCACGATTTCCCGAGTTCCCACTGGCTCACTTGGCCTCTTGCAGGAAGGAGAGGTGACTTCTCTGTGAAGGGCCCCCCACAGCCTCATCATCTTTGCCATAGGGATTCAGGAACCTCGGGGTGAGCACAGGCCTCAGGGGAGCCTGAAGCAGGAGGCAGGCCAGACAAGGCTAGATTTCTTCCTAAGCCTCCCTTTCCCCAGCGTGACTCAGGCCTACATCCTCCCAGAAGCCTTCCGGACCTCCTCCTCCCAGCTCCCTGGGAGGCCATGGGTGGGGTCAGGGAAGCACCCTAGGGCAGGTAGGGGCTGCCAGGGGCTCCCATGCTGCAGGGGCAGCAGACTCTGAGTTTGGGCAGCAGAACTGCGTTCACAGGAGGCAATGGGATGCTGTGGCAGAGCCAGAGGTGGCTGGGGACCAGCGGCTGGAGTTGAAATTCTGTCATTCCGCTTAGCAGCTGTGGGATTTCTGGTTTCTTTATTTGTAAAATGATACAAGCCCCTTTGAGAGAGAGAGACACCCTCCCCTCAAAGTGTAGTCATGCATATTAAGCACAGGTGAGTGTGGGAGTGTACACATATGCATGGTGGGGCCTGGTGGTCCCCCAGAACCTTCCAGCATTTACCAAGTGGTGACGGTGGTCCTTGGGGACAGGAGTGCGGATCTGGATCAGATGGGTACAGGATTGGTTCCGTCCTGGCCAGTGGTCCTGGAGCAGGGGAGCAGGTGGTTCTCCTATGGACTGGGCTCGGCTCTGGGGCTGGGGAAAGTGCAGGGCGGCCAGCCTCCTGGAGGGGGTGGCCCTGCCACCCCTGCCCTGGCTCACAGGTGCCCACATTACAGCATCTCAGGAAGAGTGGCCAGGAGAGGACATGAGCACCGAGATGGAGCTGCTGTGGCCTGGGGCTGCCCTGCTGCTGCTGCTGGGGGCGGCAGCCGGCCTGTGTGTGCGCTGCTCCCGCCCAGGTAAAGGCTGGGGTCACAGGCGCGATGGAAGAGACAGTGCACCAGAGACGTGCTCAGGCCCGGACCTGGCTGTTGCCACAAGGGGCCTCACGTGAGCCTCACAAGGCCAGCCCTGAAACTGCCCTGAAGACACCAGGCCTGGCTCACTGAGGAGCCTGGGCTTTGCTGGGTTAAGGGGCATGTGTGGGGCAGGGGTCACTGGACAAGGAAGGGGAGGCAGGCTGCCCATGGCGTCCAATCCCTGTCCATGTTGGGTGGCCCACAGTGTCGTCCTCTCTGAGGCCTGCACAGGGCACAGGCTAGAGAGGACTTGCTAAGATATTCTGTTCTTACAGGTGCGAAAAAGTCTGAGAAAATCTATGAGCAGAGGAGTCTGTGAGTGGTGTCATGTGCCCGTGGGCTTCCCTGTCCCCTGCCCCTCACCCCTTCACTCACACCTCTTCCAGCCTCTAGTGGGCCCCATGTGGTCAGGGGAGGAGGAGAGGGGGCGCCCAGGGGCCCCTCTGGTCAGGGAGCTCCTGCCCAGCCAGGTGGGGAGGGCCTTGGGAGGAGGGGGGCTGCTCTCCTGGCCCAGGAGCATCTCCAGAGTTCCTCCCACTGACCCCCACCCAGGGGAGCCCACTGTGCCAGTGCTGGGCGTTCACAGCAGAACCCCACCCTCCTGGGGCAATAGGGAGCTGTGGGACAGAGACTAGGCACAGAGCCAACTGAGCTGTGTCCGAGGGTCCCCTGGAAAATGCTGAAGGAGTGCAGGGCAGGACATGGGCACATCCCTTGGGGGAGAGAAGGCAAAGGGGACATTCCAGAGAGAGCTGTGGGGGCTGTCCCCAACGGAAGACCAGGGTGGACATTGTCTTTCGGGATGAGGTGGCAGATGAGGGTGTTCCTTGAGAGCGATGAGCTGGAAGAGGAGGTGGGGGGCCTTGACTATGGGAAGAGGCCTTAGCGTTTGTCCTAAGGGCCAAGGGGAGCCACAGAAGAGCTTAGTGCAGTAGGAAGCAAGGGAATCGGGGTAGAGACTTAGTGGGGTCACTGACCCCTGGCTGGGTGGCAGACCCCAGGCAGGATAGAGTCCCAGGCACTTTGAGGACAGGTGGGCTGCTCTGGGGCCCTGGGATGGTCAGCCATGCAGGACACTGCAGGTCAGGGCTGTGGGCCAGGGGCAACCTGGGCAGGAGGGCAGAGGCCATCGGTATCCTTACATGGAGTAGGACTGTGACTACGGAAGGCCTGGGGGATGCCGAGGCCCACCTGCACACATGCCCACTCATACCCACAGGCTCCCACACTCACTCACGTGTGCACTTCTCACACTTGCAGCACTTGTGTGCACACTCAGGCAAGCACTCACATACAAACACGCCTACACGCCCTTTCTCATTTCCTTTTGCAACTGAAAAACCACAGTAAAATCTGAAAATAGAATCTTCCCATCTATGCCCACCCCTGGGGCTGGGGCTGGACCTTTCCAGGATTTTTTTGGTCATTTGGTTCTCTGGGTTTCCAGCCCACAATCTCCACCAGGGGTGGACTGGGCTCCCCTATACCCCCCAAACTCCCTGTCCTAAGGCAGGCCTCCTCAGTATCTCCCTTCTCCCCTCCTCCCTCAGACCCTGGACACTCCAGGTCCTTGGTGGACCTTAGAATTGTGGACTGTCAGAGCCAGAAGCTAAACCTCATGTGGGAGGTGGAAAAACTGGGCCTAAGTGGGAGAAGGTGGGAGGAAAAACAGGTTGTCCCCCACTCACTTGGGTTCAGTCCTGCCAGCTTATATAAAGTGGCTGCTGTGTGTGCCAGGCGCAGCTGTATCACTTTCTCTGGGAAACTATGCCTAGTTCTCTCCTTCGGGTTTAGGGCTTTCCTCCTAAATCAGGTCACCCTGACCCCCAGCCCCTAGAACCTCCTGGAGGGCTAGGCCAGGTACCCGTTCTGATCCAGGAGAGGAATCCAAAATGCTGTAATGATTAGCTAATCTGCTCCACCATCCTTAGAGGTGATATCTATTCTCATGGTCCAAAATGGCAGCCAGACCTCCAGCCCTTGTCTTTCATTCCAGACAGTACTAAGAATGAAGGAGAAGACCTAAAAGGATGTACCCTGGTTGGCAGTGCCTTCATAAGGAGCTTTCCTGAAAGTTCTGACTTTGGCTTGCATTTCATTGACCAGAGCTTAATCGCATGGCCAAACTTAGGTGCAACAGGAGGCTGGGGAATATAGTCTTTCAGATGGGCACATGGCAGCCTAAATAAAAATCAGAGATCTGTTTCAAAGGCAGATATTGGACAATGGCTAGACACTTTGCTGTTGTCTCACTCATTATTTGGGAATATAGGTGTGTTTGAACATCTCAAGAGGTGTGTGCTCTCTTAAAATGTTCAACACTCCTGGGGGGGGTACGTGGGACCTTGTTGTTATTCCTGACTGAAGTCACCACTGGCTCCCTGAGCAGTCACCCTGACCCTCACATCACAGACTCTCATAGCTGCCTCCCCAGCCATGCCCACAGACCCTCCTGACCATCCCAGGGGTCCTGGAGAGGCCATGTAGGGGCATGGGTCTGGCTGGCAGCTGGCTCAGACCAGGGCCATGTAAGAAGGGTGGGCACCCAATGGGTAGGGCAAGGGAGCAGTCCAGAGAAGGGGGAATCAGGCAGCCCTGGATCTGAGGTCTGGAGGGGAGGCATTCTCCTCATTCTCCCTGGTCTGTCCCTCTCCTCTCTGTCCATATCTTCTGTCTCTGTGTCCCCTGGGCTGGAGGAAGCCAGGCCCTGGCTAAACATACCTCCATGTGTTTCTAGGCAAGAGAATCAACAGAGTTTTTCAGTGGCCCGGACCTATTCCTGTGAGTCCCCAAACAGAAGGGTCCAGGGACTGGGCTTGGGGTTGGGGGTGTCCATATCAAAGGCCCTTCCATCCCATTGTTCTAAGGCTGTGGCCAGGCCTGATCTGAGGCTATGGCTGGGTGGATGAGGGGGCTGCACTGGTGGGCTGGCCTGGGGGCCTGGCCAACACCCCCTTGTCCTTTGCAGTGGTTAGGCAGTCCTGGCCAGCGGCCCTCGTGGACACGGCCTCTGATGTGGCACCAAGGTAGGAATCAGCCCTGTGCCTCAGGCTCAGAGGGGTCACAGCCCCACAAGGGGGACCTGAGTCCCCACCTGGCTAAGCCCAAGTCAAGACCCTCCTAGGAATTCAGAACTTCAGAAACCCTAGGGTCTCTCTCCCTGGCCCTCCTCAGTCCCTTCCTTCCCCTCCCCTGCAGGAAGGACAAGCTGCTGCGTTTCTCCCCCAGCACCGAAGGTGAGTGACTCTCAGACACAGGTGTGTGGGGCCAAGGTGGGACTGAGACAGGTAAATACTTGTTGGGACAGATACTGTGCAGGGGAGGTCTGGGCGCCAGGCAAGCTGGGCTGGAGGCCTGATGCGACTGACCTAGAGGGGAGGGTCAGACAGCAGGGGCAGAGGTATGAAGGTGGGATACACCTGAGCCTCATGGTGTGCGATGAGGCCTCCCGTGGGCTGCAAGAGCTGGGAGGTGGCAGGGGCGGGAAGGGAGCAATGAGCCTGGCCTTTCTTCCAGATTCCGCATCCCCCAGGTACCAGAACTTCAGCAAAGGTAGGTGGGCTTTCGGGAGGTGGGGGCTTAGCGGGGTCCATGGGCAAGTGCTCAGGGCTAATTGTCGTCTCCTCCTGCAGGAAGTAGACATGGGTCAGATGCAGTCTACATGTGAGCAGCTTCTCCTGGCCCTGGCACTTCCTTCCCAGCCTGCCTGCCCTTGCCTGGAGCTGCCTTGTTTATGAAGGCCTCCTGCCCTAGAACTCATGGGCCCAGGCAGGCTCCTGATAGCACTGCTTCCCCTGAGGTGGCCATGGCTTTGTGGGGACAGGGATGTAGCCATGCTCAGGGAGGGGCTGTCTGGGAGGGGGATCTCATCCTGCATCACTGTCAGACAAGCTCCATGGAACCCAGAGGGGAAGGGCCCCCAGGGATGACTCCTCACCTCACAGATAGGCCAACACAGGCCAGAGCAGATGGGGATTTGCCTAGAGTCCCCTGAAGGTGGCTAGAGCTAGGCTGCCACCCCCTCAGCCCCAGGATGGTCAGGAGAGCTGGATGGAGGGATGGGAGAGAGCCTGGCCTGGCCCCCTGGGCCCTGAGGGAGTGATGGCTGGAGCAGCCCAGCCTCACTGGCCCCAGGACCCCCCACCCCAGCCACCAGCCTACACAGCAACCCACACCGTGTCTGGGCTTTCTTGCCAGAGACCCCATCACTATGGACTATTACAACTGGGAGCAATTCCAGAAGCCCCTGGAAGGTGAGGTGGAGGGTGAGGATGGGGAGAGGGAGAGGGAGAAGGTGGCCGTGGGAGCTCAGCCTCAGGAGCCACACTCCCAGAGCCAGAGGCCACTGGGAGGACGGGGAGGAGGCTGGGCCTTGGTCAGGAGGGATGGAGGATGGCGGATGGCCGAGGGAGGCTGGCAGTGCAGGCAGGAGTCCAGGGTCAGGGGAAGAAAGGAACGTGTAGAGGCAGGGGTGGAAGGGGGGTGGGCCACAGAGGCCAGGGACCCAGAGGGGTCTAGGGGCAGGGGCAGGGAGGAGGCTGGGCCCCTGTCACCCAGGTTCTCTCAGGGAAGGAGCCAGGCGGGGCAGCCTTGCTGACAGACACTGAGCCCAGCAGGGGCTCCTGCCCTAGAACTCATGGGTCCAGGCAGTCAACACCTTTGCTTTACAGAAAGAGTAACTGAGGACTTGAGGGCACAGACCTGGGGTTTGAATCTAGCTCCCCAACATGGACTTCTGCTCAGGCTGTGCTGGGGTGGGGCTGAGGACCATGTGGGCAAAGAGAGGGTCCTCTTCCTCCCCTCTGCCACTTCTGCAGTGGCGACCGGCCCTCATTTCTTGGAGAACAGATGGATACTGGTGGTGTCATGGTTAAAGCTCAGCTTCCCTGTCCCAGGGGTGATGAGGCAGTCCTAGGCCCAGTTGAAGCCACAGGGCAGACCCCCAGGTCCCCAGCCTGGCTTAAAGGGTCCTGTGCCAGCTTAGGCCTGGTTCCTGACACTCCTCATCCCCACGGCCCTCCTGCCCTTCCTTCCCGGATAGAGATGGGCCTCCCTCCCCTCAACTTTCCAGCTGCCTGACTGCAGCCCCCACCTACCTCCCCGACCCCAGAGCATTGGGGAGCACCTCCCTCTGTGAGGGAGCCCAGGGCGGACACTGCTGGAGTCAGGCTGGCATCCATTCAGAAGCTGGTCCAGAATGATGTTTGAGGCCCTGGGGGATCCAGAGGGCTGGGGGCTTGGCAGGACAGGGCAGCTGCTGAGGGAGGGAAGGATGGATGGAGGGAGGAGGAAGAACCAGGCCTTCAGGCAGGGCTCACCACTGTTCTGAGCCCCCTCTCTCTCCCTGGCAGATGACGACGATGCCAATTCCTACGAGAATGTGCTTCTCTGCAAGCAGAAGAGCCCTGAGTCAGGTGAGGCTGCGGGGACCGGGCAGCGGGGTGGCCTCGGTCAGAGGTGGATGGCACCTAAAGCCCCCACTGCCCAAAGGCATCACCTTCCTTGAAGCCTAAGTGTCCCCCACATCCCTGGAGCCTTTGGGTCAAGCACAGCCTGTGTCCTGGAGGAGGCCCCTTGGGGCCCAGGCCTCAGTGGGAATGCATTGAGGAGACCCTTCCTCCCCAAGGGGGCTGCCCTGCATGGGGCAGATGCCTCTCTGGAGGGGCCCGTGGCATCTTGCTGGCCTGAGGACTCGCCATGGTGGCTGCCCCACTGCCAGCCCTCTCCCAGTGCTCTCCCTGCAGGTGACGAGGGATCTGAGGATTATCAGAACTCGGCATCCATCCAGCAGTGGCAGGAATCCAGGAAGGTCCTGGGTATGTGGCTGGAGAGCAGTGGCTCCCGAGAGGTCACTGTCTGGGGACCTGGAGGGCCCTGGCCTTGGGGGGCCAGACTGCGGTGGGCTACCCTGCAGCCAGTCCAACTGATTCTGCAATGAAGCCTCTGGCACATCAGTGGCTGCAGGGCCTTGAACCATAATGTGACATCCCTCAGCAGCCACCGTGGCCTCCTGAGGTCAGGGCCTATCAGGCAGGCTGCCTGTCCAGCTGTGTGGATGGAGTTGCAGGGGCCCAGCTCTGGAGCAGGGCAAATCTCTGGCAAATCCCAGAGAGGATGGACACATGCTATCCTGTGTAGCATTTCCTGCAGGCAGTTTTGTGGCATCTGTGGGTTTGACTGCCCAGGATGAGCATTCTGGGGGAACCCAGTCCTGGGTGTATTCGTGGGAACCACCTGACCATCATCTCACATCTGCCCACTGGTCCACAGAGCAGGTTCCGAGAGAAGCACCTCCCTCCAGGGCAGGAAGCTCAGATGAGGACAGCGGGGAGCCTGATTATGTGAATGAGGGTGTGGTGGCCCCGGAAGCCTAGGGAAGACGTGGAAGGAAGGTACAGCCCCCTCTGTCCAGCTACCCAGGTGCAATATGCTGGGCCTCAGGCCTAGGGGACCCACTGCAAGGGCAACAGGGAGCTTGGCCAGAGGAACAACAGTGGGGACTGAATGCGGTGGCTCTGCAGGGTGCTGGGACCCTGCTCCTTTGTTCTGGGCTCCTGAGGGGTCTCTTCTACTCTGCCCCTGACTGCTGAGGCAGGCTTGGTGAAATGACAGATCCTCAGCATGCATACGGTTCTCAGGCTGTTGGGATATCAGGCGGGGAAGGCTAGTGAATTGTGGGGTGGGCTCTGGCTGGGTCTCCACAACCTTGAGCAGGTGACCTATCTTGTCACTTGCAAAATGGAGCTAACAGGACCTGCATCTCAGACAAGACCCTGCATGTAAATCATGAGCCCAGCAGGACTCGGCCAAGGCTGGGATTTGGAGATGCCGGGGACAATGACAATAGTGGCTACATGGTGTCAAGCAGCTACCACACAGGCCAGCATGGTGCTCAGTATTCACATGCACCATCTCTTGATGTCCCAAAGGCAGTGTTCAGCCACCTGCCCAAAGTCACACACAGAGTGAGTGGGGGAGGGGACAAGCACCCAAGTGGTTAGACATTAGAGCCCAGACTCTGCCACTCTCTGGGAGACAGGATCAGCCCCAGAGGGCCCTGGAAGGCTGTCTGTCCCAAGTCCAGTCCACAGGACACAGACAATCCTCTCTGTAGATGGCAAGCCTGGGCCATCTGAGAGCCAGCAACAAGATGAGCTGCAAAATTTGAGTCCATGGTTCATTCATTCCCCTGATACTTACCAGGCACCTGCCAGGGTACATAGTAATGAACAAAATGCACCCAAACCCCTCGGCAGGAGCTGCAGGGGCTACCCAGGCTTTTAAGCTGAAAGACATTACATTATACTGTGTGCTGGCAGAAATGACACACGTTCAAGTTTGGGTCAGGCTGCGGCTGGATGGAGCCTTTACATCCTGAATCCTGCCCGGCACAGAGAAGGGTCTGAGCCCCAGGCTAGTCCACGGTGTTCAAATCAATGGAAGGGCTGCTGGGCAAGGCGGAAAGAGTTGAGTCAGAGCCTGGTACCACCAGTCAGGTCCCACTGTGAGGGGGGAGGACCAATCTGGAAGGTGATCAGTCACTGGAGCCGCACAAGGGCAGGCCGCCCAGCCAGTCTGCAGAAGGCATTCCTGCACCGAAGGCGGGTCAGCTTAACCCAGGCCCTGGCCAGGGTCAAAGAATACAGGATTCCAAAAAAAGAGCTGAAGTGCCTAAATAAGAAACACAGTGGAGGCTGTCTGATGGGCAGGTTTTCTTGCCAGCCTCGCGTCAGGGGGGCATTTGGATGTGGACCATTGTTGTGTGTCCCTCCCCTGACCCCGAGCCAGCCACACCGGTGCTGAGGGAACAAAATACTAATGGAAGCAAAACTTTTCCTTCTAACAAATTTTTCATCTTCATGAAGGAGCCAAGGGAACCGCTGAGCGCGTAGGACTACTTATTGCTTCCCTTACTGCCTCTGAGGAAGCAAGGAGCCCTTCATCAGAGTTGCTCCACTTCTAGACCCCCGTCATGGGTGCTTCTGGGAGACGCGCCAGCCTGTCCCAATGAGCACCCATCTGGTCCCAGGAAAGGACGGTTACACGTGGAATCACCCTCAGACCAGGCTTCCGAAGGAGCTAGCACCCAGGGTAGCCCACCCACTGCTGCCGTGGCTGCGTGCCCAGGATTTCGGGCAAGTCACTCATGTTTTAAAACTTGGAACAACACTGGTATTCATGTTCTTCTTGTTTTGGATTTGGATCCCAAATTACTAATGTCAGTTGCTGGGATTTGTTTCTCGTGGCCTGTAAACTTATACAATTAATTTATATAGGCAGAGCCATATTTAATAGCCTACATTTCAGGGTAGTGATGCTTGCCCATTGTCTCCTGTAAGCATTACATGACTTAATTTGGGCAGTTGGGGGAGCCCTGGCTCTCTTTTCTTTGGGCTTCAGTTCATTCAGGAAGAGCTGAGGCTACAGCTATCTTTGTGACCATTCAGGGGACAAGGCGCATCACGGTCTGGAAGGGGCAGGCAGGGTGGAGGACTGGCCAGGATGGGCACCCCCCAGCTGCCCTGAAATCCTCCCTTGCCCCAGAACTGGCCTCAGCTTAGCTGATTGGGCAGTGACATGACTGTCTCATGGAAGGGCAGGGGTCCAAAGGGACCTTCTGAGTCAGAAAAGCCACAGTCTGGGAAATAAAATGCTCCCTCCAACCTGAATGCTTCAATAAACTTTTAGTTTAAGAGCAGTATTTCTCCTGTCTGCTTTCCCTGTTTAGTGCAAACCTTCTGAGGGAATGAAGGTCAAGCTCTTGTTTAACAGCAAGGGACACTGAGGCCTGGAGAGGGGAAGGAGGGGGCAGGAACTTTGTCCCCAAGCCCAGTCCTCTTCCAGGATGCCACACAAATTCTTGGCATGAGAAGTCAATGCCACAAGTTAGGAAACTAGAAGGAAAAACAGCTCAAACATAACGGTAGGCCACTTGTCACCTCACACCCTGGAGTCCTGCCCCCATGGCTCCTTGCTGCAGGGACCTGAAGCCTCTGCGGGCCTGGGGTCCTCACCTGCAAACCGGGCAAAATCATCCTTTGCCTCACAGGGACCAGGTGGCTCTGGATCAAAAATGAGGCTGAGCAAGTACTTGAGAGTAATTTGTAAAACTTCAGTGTGGTTTTTGACCACCTTAACTTTTTTCTCCTCCTTGAAACTGTAAGCCAATGAGCCTGTCTGTGTCACTTTAGTGTCCATATTCAGTAGTGTGGTCTGGACGATGACTAACCCCACTTGGGGAGGAGGGCATGAAGCAGGAGATAGAGTGGGCCTTCCCCTGGCTGCTTCCGAGGTTCAGGCCACAGGCAGCAGCTGTGAACCCAGCCTGGGTGGGAGAGCCCAAGGGGAGAGATGAGCACAGGCCTGGCCTGCCCAGCTGTCCGGCGGTCTGCATCGGTGCACAGCCACACCACTGTGGCCCTTCACCCCAGAGCCTCTGGGGCAGAGGGAGCCAGCCAGTCACACAGTATGTCACCAATCAAAGCTTTCTGAGGAGGCCAGCAATCAGGATGCCGAGATACCCGACTCCCACCCCCTTAGAACCACCATTCTAAGTGACATCTGGGGTTTGCTTCAGAACAGTCCAAGGGCAGGGCAGGGTGATGGGAAGAGAGGAGACAAGACTGGCCACGTGCTGGTCAAGCTGCTCAGATAGATGAACACGTCAAGGTCACTATACCATTCTCTCTACTTTTATGAACAATTGGTATTTTTCATAATTAAAACAAGGAAAAATTAAGCAATCCTACAAATTAATATGAAATTCACTGGGGAATTCTAAAGCAAAGTATACATCCAGCTACACAGAACAGGCAGCGTGGCAGGAGTGTCCCCTTTTTTGGTGAACCCAGAGTTCTATCCGACGGGCTCATTGCCCTGGGCTGTTCTAGAAGTCTGCCTGACTAGTCAGTAAATTACAGCAAATCCTACCTCATGGACCTGTCCTTCAGGCCGCTAGAAAAACTGACATTAGCTTGTCTAATTTATTATCTAAATCACCTTTCTACTTGTAGGATGCTAGGAACCTGTGCAGGGACAGGAGGCTGGTTTTCCTTGGGGCCTTGCACTGCCACTTCATTGCTGACAGAACTGTACAGTCTTATTAGCTAAAATGCCCAACCATGCCCTGCAGGTTCCCTGGGGCCTTCCACCCTGTCACTACATCTGTAAGTCTGAGGCTGAATGTAAATGCTCGTGGGGACATGCTGGAAACAATCGTGTTAAAGGAAGGTGGGCTCCAATACCCGTCTAAGGCAGCATTTCTCTCCTGAGTCAGAAGGCTGTGACTTCTGTCTCTCAGGGATGATGGCTCTCATAACCCAATCAATGAGCTGTCCGCTCTAACTGGCCACAGGGGCCATTGTCTTCTGACACAGCCTGGCCAGGAGCCCTGCCATCTGCAGGAGGGAGTTCACACCTTCTGCTATTTTCATATGAGTGTATCCAATTTCCTGAAAAACAAATCAAATTTAAATCTGCTTAGTAAGTGAGGGAGAAGTATACTTTTTAAAATCTGGACTAATGGCTTATTCAAAATTGATGCAATGAACTCAACACTCCAGCTGGAAAATAAACTTGAAGTTTTAATGGATTATGTTTAACTGAAGTCCAATTTACTTCCTAAAAGGATATTGATATTTCTTTGTGAGGTACTGTTGAGGGCAGATTAAAAAAAGTCAGCCTTGGAAAAAAATACTCAATATTTTTAAAAACAAATCTGATCAAAGATTTTCATCCAGAAAATATAGCAAACACCCAAACTTAGTTTTGTAGTAAGATTAATAAGTAAACACTCAGTTAAAGAAAAGGTAGATTTGAACAGATGTTTCATTAAGGAAGATTACTGATGGCAAATAGACTCATAACAAAGTATTTGACATCATTAATTACTGGAAAATACAAATTAAATCCATAGTGAGATACCACTAAACACTTACTTATTTTTTAGAATGGCTTTAAAAAACCAACTGAGCATTCCAAGTGCTGACTAGGATGTGGATCACGAGGAATGCTCACACATTGCTGGTAGAGATGCAAACTACTACAGCCACTTTGAGAAACCACTGGGTGATTTCCTATAAAGTTGAACATGTACTTACCATTTAGCAAGCAATCTCACTTCCTGGGAATTCACCCAAGATAAATGAAAACTTATATTCACATTAATTCATGTACAATGTACATATATATTTGTAATGGCTTTATTCATTGTCACCAAAACCTGGAAACCCAAACGTCGTTCAACTGGTGAACACACACACTGTGGTATGTCCATACAACAGACCACTACTCAACAATGCAAAGGATGATCCACTGATAGATTCAAAAACAGCATGAAAAAAATCCAAAATGCATTAAGCTAAAAGAAGCCAGACTTGAAAGGCTGTATTGTGCTTGACTCCATTTATATATGACATTCTGGAAACTTTTGTCCCCTAAACAGAAAATAGATCAGTGGTTTTCAGGTGGCTGAGGGGAAGAGGCACATAAATTTGCAGGGGATCCCAGAGCTGTTCACACCTTGATTGTGGTGAGGTTTCATTCATACCAGAATGAATGCTTTTGTCAACAGAACATACCTGAGGCAGAATTTTACTCTATGTAAATTATGTCAACTCTTCTGTCCTTAAAAGATAAACATATGGATAAATAAATCTCTAATGAAGAGAGCCATCACAAGAACACTAGTTCACTGACCAGAACAGCTCAAACAAGCTCCTGGCCCCCAGGAGAATCTGCCAGCCCTGCCTCCACCATCATTGGGGATACTGAGCACCCTTCAGGTGCCAGGCCTGGAGGAAAACAAAGAAAGCCACGGCATGGCCCACATTCTTGAGGAGAAAGGCATTGCAAGGCTCTCACTGACCTTAATAAACTCCAGTTTCAAGTATTCTGCCATTTGGAAGGTTTTACACACTCGAAAAATGTTGCCAATGATGTCTTCTGGTGAATAGCCAAGATGCCAGAGGTGAGCAAGAATCTAGACAAAAGCAGAGATGCTAAGGCTGTTTAACTCTGTAAACAAGGACACTATGGGGACAGGAGGTCAAAGCCACACCATTCTCAGGCCTGCTGAGAGTGGAGGGGTCATCCTACCAGACAACCCTCGTGGTGGTAAGGAGCTGCTGGTGGGCCATGCCCTTTAGAGCAGGTGCGGGTAACTGATTTTCCCAGCAAGCAGAGGTAATACTGCAACTGTTTTAAAACATTACAAGATGGTCTACATAATCCCCATGAAATGCCTTTATCTAAGGCTCTTAAAAAGCCTGATTAATCATCCTGGTAAGCACTCTGGAGTGGAAGTAGCAGAGCCATCTCTCTGCCGGGCTTTTCCTAGCTGCCAGTCAGATACACAGCCCCCACAGGAAGGGCCCTGAACCTTGGCCAGGATTGGGGGGACTGCAGCAGAGTCTCAGCCTCCTGCCTTCTCAGCCCCAGGATGTTCCAACCCCCATGGCACCCCACCCCACTGGACGCAGGGCCAGGAGTTAGCTGTTTTGGCCTTTGCTGTGGCACCTTGGGGTGAATTCAGGGAATGGGCAGCTTTATGTTCCTAAGTCTGAAGGCTTCAAGTCCTGTGCCTGGGTCTCTACCTCAGTCTCCCGGCCTTGTACTCACAGTTCACACCAGGTCTCAGCCTGCCCTAAACGCAGTCAACTTTTGGCTGAATATGGGAAGCAGGGGGAGAGAAACCTGCTGTAATCAGGCTAATGGCCTTAAATCATACCACTGCCTCCCATGTGGACTTGAGGGTCACCTGAACCCCAATGATGCCCACTGGAATCTGCTCAAGGGACAGGCTCCATAATCAGGTTAGAAAGCCCTGGTGCCTCCTCTCTGGCTGACCAGGGGCTGCTGGGTCCGTGTTCTTCAGGAGGGTGGAGGGGGTCTCTCCTCAATGGAAACATGCCTTCACCGCAGCATAAGGAGTTGGGCCGGCCTCTCCTAGGGTCTTAGACAAACTCTTCTTGAGGAGAATATGATAGTAAATAGGGATGATTCTGAGTTGCAGGCCTGACTTCTTAACAGGGAGTTCAGTCCCCGAGGCAGTGGAGCAAAGCGCACAGTCCCTAGCCCAGGGAGTGCCCCCAATCCTGCTCAGGGAGCCAATGGTTCCAGCAAACCTTGTAGGCGTCATCGATATTGGCGCTCACGCAATGCTGGATCATCTCCTTCACCAGCAAGGGGTGTGGCTCGTCACAGACCTGGCCATACCAGAGAAGGGTGCATTAGGGGCCACGGGGGCCATCTGAGGAGCCCCAACAGGCCAGGCTCGGCACAATCCACGTAACCAGCCTCTCCAACTTGCTTTTTCATTGCATTCTCCAGAAAGGGAGCCAGGTTTGGGAATGCCCCTCTCACCACTGAACAAGTCATCAGAGGGTGGTGCCCACCTCCTGCAGTGAGGAGAGCTTCTGGTACATGATCACGGATTTCCCAAGCCAAGAAGGATTACCAAGGGCCACTGAGGCATCTCTTGGGGGCAGCTTTAAAGGCTTTTGGAGGCTCATTTGCCCAGAACGTTTTAGAATCCATTTAAGAATTAGGTTGCTGAGGCCAATCTCCCACCCCAGAAAGGAATTGGCTTTCCTGGGACAGAGTGCCCAGCCTCAGTACGATGGCTGGCAGGGCGGCCTGTTGGGTGTCAGCTCCCTGAGCCCAGAGGCTGCCCGCCCGCATCCCAACCTCTGGCCCTGGATTACACCCTCTAGCACAGCATCATATTTAAACCTTCTGAATCAAAGCCTCTGGTGTCTCTGGGGTGCCACGCCTGCCCCTGGCCTTCTTCCCAGATGAAATTACCTTCTCTCCTATGTCAGTTTCTGGGGCCTTCAATGCTCTGCTCTGGGATGCAACGTGACTTAACTGTCACTACTGAGGACTCCGCGAGTTTCCCTAGGATCTTTGGAGATACACTCGCTGCCAAGGTCTAAACACAGGCTTCCACATGACCGGTTCACAGCTGAGAAAGAGCTACAGTCTGAATGCAGGGACAGCCCTACCCAATTTTAACCCTCAAACCAGGGGGAAATCAGTCTCTGTAACCGCACTTGTTAGGACATGCTAGCTAGTTTACAAATTATTCCCGAAAGAAAACCCCTTCACCCACGTGGGAGAATAAGACTGTTTTTCCTTGGCTTGGCCCTGAAGAGCACAGCTACGGCTCCAGGTGCAGGAAGTGGGGAGCAGGGGCAGGGGCTGCAGGAAAACCTGGGGGCA